GAATGGACAAAAGGAGTTGTACAATGTATAAGTCGAGTAGTATAGCATAAAATAAAAACGTATAATCCAAGTAGAGCTTTAAAAAAAAGAAAGAAATGTCGGTAAATTTCAAGACCATCGACGTAAACGGAACGGAGGCAAGAAACCGGCCGAAATGTCCCCGTTCCAGAATTTAACGTGAAAGAGGAAAGAGGCAAGGATGCCTTGTTCGTCTCTCATCAAGTCATCATGCCCGTCAATGCCCACCGACACCTACCTCTTCTTATGGCCTCCACTATCAAGCAACAACTACCACCGTCCACTTCTCCATTTCGTCCTTGTTTATTATATTAAATTATACGAAATATCTTCACCAATTTGTTTTTTTTTATTTGCCAATTTGAACCTCAAACTTGAAACGTTTCAACTTTCGCCCTATTCTTTTTTTTTTTGGTAAATTATATATGAAAAATTTTATTCTGTTGGAAATACATGATATTGAAAAGGTTTTCACCAATCACAATCCCGTGAACTTTGATGAAATTTCACCTGATTGGTACTTTTATCATGCCATTTGATTGATTGTAAGCATTTTCGATATCATGGCTTATAATCAATCGCTTCAGTGCTTAAAACAACCTTGATTAAATGACGTTTTTTTACCCAAGAATGATCTTAGAACTATCAAACCTGATAATAAAACCTAAGGATGAAATCTGAGAAAAAAAATAAGGATTTCAAAAATAAAAACCAATGGAGATCTCAAAACTATGGTTTCATAGAGGAGAAAGGGCAATATGGTTTCAAAAAAAAAAAAAAAAATCAAACCTGAAAATGAAATCCTTCTCTTCTTTGTTGATTGATCAACATATATTGTAGTTCGAGTTTGAGAATGAAATCTAAAAGGACAAAAAAGGATTTAAAATAAATCAGGTGCCTATTTTGGGAAGTTGAGAGAATTCAAGTGTTACATTTGAAAGTTTAGTGTATCTATCTATCACTACTCCAAAGTAGAGGGTACTCAAGTGTCACATTTCAAAATGGTTAAAAAAAATAAAATAAAACGAGTAGTAGTTTTATATGAATTCATATACTGTGCATAACTGACTACTAACAATTGAATTAGAGTATATGTTTATGAGAGTTTAGAGTACTCAAGTGTTATATTTGAAATTTCAAGCATCTATTTGTGACTGCCCCGAAAATACTGCATTCAAACTCCATTACCCATCATAAAAGTTACATTTCATCCATGATCAATGACCCTAAAGTTGGGAGCAAGTGACCAGGTTATAGATTGATTATGCCTAAGAACATATTGGGCAAGCCGTCATGTCCGTGGACTACCCTATTTTATAAGATGCAGATTTATAGCTAAGCAAACAAAAAGAGAATCCAGAGATTTATTTCCCACAGTCCAGCACTGACGTGTACATTTGCCATGGAGGATCTAGGTCCGAGGATAAGGCATAAATCACGAATTTAGTATCACCCATTCACCCTCTAGACAGATGGGATTCAATAACCCTTAAGCCTTCCAACAGAGCAAGAGTTTCTACTCCCTTAGAAGAAGCACAACTTTCAACCACCATAGTAAGATCCACAATTGCAGCACAAGAAAGAACCCAAGCACCATTTGTGTTAATCTTCATTTTGGGCCTTAACTCTCTATATCAGCTACAGGCATGAAAAGATTCCATGAGGACAGTAACAGTTACGTTGGGGTCTAGTTTAATACTACATGCCAGACCTTGGATCTATGGCGAATGAAAATTTACTGTGGAAAAGAGAGGACATATAGGGAAAGTGTGAGCAACACAAAAGCTTCTAAGTTGGAAACATTTTACTTTCTTCCCTTTAACTATTACCATTCTTTCTGATAACGAATGATTTGGCCTTCCTGTGACATTATGACATACGAAAGTAGATTTCAGGAGTACTTTGGATACCTCGCACCAGTCACAATAGGCCATCTTACAGACATACTTGGAAGATATTAGGTCGGTGTAAAAGGCGACCTGCCTCCATTGACCTAGTCAAGATTCAGTTAGCAATAGGTGAACTCCTCCTCCAGCAAGTTATCGTCTTTGACTCCCCCGAGACCATGATGTCATGTCTGATTATCGCCCCACCCGCTTCAGATGCAACCGGATAAGCACAGTTAGCTTATGCGGAGTCCGCCTCTAGGCGAGAAACCACCTCCGAATCAAACCGGCTGATGATCTTAGACACGCTTCATGGAGCTCACGATTATTAGCCTATATAAGGGCATTCCTTTCCTCAAAAAATATATGTGTGATTCAACACTAATAGCTCTCTTGCTTTCAAGATTTCTAATACTCACAACTCTTCGCTAATTTAAGTATCGAAATATCCACCCTAAGTAAAACAACCTGGATACTCTAATCTCTTTCTTTATATATCTCAATTAGACGACCTACTCAATTCGACATCCGAATTATCTACCATATAGAAGCACTAGATCGTGCATCATCACCTTCCTTTCATACATGGTCCAATAGTTAGAAGAAGAAGAAAAGAAGAGGAGACTCTTTGTTCTCCTCCAAACAACTAAAGTTAGGTAAATAATATCTTCATATCTCCCATCCATTATGATGATATGTGCCCACATTAGCTTGTTTTAAATCACTATCTGCTTTGACCTTATCTAACAAAAACTGTAAATGTAGAGCAAAACATTAGCCGAAAACTCAGGCATCTCATCTCATTTTCTCATTCCTTTCAATATAGTCAAAAGAAGCAAGAGAAGTTGGTGGAATGAATGTTTCCTGTTCTTAAAGCTGTTCACAGCTGCCATATATGTATATATTATAGTTAAGCTGCTTTTAATTGATTAATTGTCCTCGAAAACGGGACTCCGTATGATCAAACAATACAAATACGTCTGAAATCAGGGTATGAATGTACGGCCATAAAACAAATCTGTTAATTATATTACCTCTCAAGTCTCAAGTTAGCAGATCCAATACGGAGTTGGAAACGCCACATTCAACCATATTCTAATTATTTTAGGTTTAGCATATTTCCACTTGATAGTTTTTGTTGATTGTTAGTTTGGTACCCACTAAATACTATGGGGGGTCCCCCCCACTCTGCATTAAAACTAAACGCATATCATGGTGTATTGGAGCTAAGCCAAGTCAACTATACAATTATTAATGTTAATTCGGCATCAAAACACGGGTATTTAAACCTAACTGAACCGATGTTTTTGCGAACCAAACCGTTGATGGATGCATGGCCCGAACCAAATTAGGCCAAGTTCCAACCATCACAACCCTGCTTTTCAGAATTTCTTAGCTACCCTCAACCAAATTTGGCCAAGTTCCAGGTGGTTGACTGGCGTCAGACTTTACTTACTACCACGAAACCGGGCCCACTATTTTAGGTCCGGATTCGTCTCTTCCTCCGTCCTTCTCGCCGTTGAAGGTTAATGAAACAAACCACCAGTCAAAAAACAAGATCAGTACATCCTGAAAATTATTAAATATGTTAACCTACTATACCACATGTGGGCCACATGGAGCTATCATCACCACCATCAATTTCGATATCCTTTTATTCCTTAGAATCTCACCATCAGCTTTCTGCTATCATCGCAACCGTTGAAACGTGTCCGATCAGAAACCAGAAAAATGGAGACAGGTGAGTCACACGGTCACACATCCTTTTTACGGGTCTCGTTGAATGTACGGTACGGTTTCTTTACATAGAAGAGAGGCATCGCAAATCGCATCTCCACTCCAGTCTTCACCAAAGCACGTAGGTACAGACACAGAAAAGGGATCCTAAGAATAATCCAATCTCTCTTCCACGTTGGAGAGATGACGTGGCTGGTGGGACCAGTCTACTTAACCTGGCTTCTAGCCTCCGCCGTTTATTTGGTATTGATGAAATGATGATGATCCATCTGCATGCTGGCAGAGGCAGCCAAATAATAATAACTGTTGCTGTTGCTGTTGCGAGTGATAACAGTTAGATCTAAATCCAACACGGGTGATCGCGTGGAAGAGACAGGCAAGGATTCGAGACAAAAAAGGCGAGACGAGAGGGTTTGTGTTGTGTGTGTTAGGAAGCACTCACATGGCACACTCTTTCTCTTGGTGTGGGGCCCTCACTCACGCCTCTGTCTCCGTCCATGTTCCTTTTTTTCTGAAGAGTAGAAAAGCAACTCTCCGAGACAAAAGCAGAAATTGGAGCATCCAATAAGAGAGAACCCTACCTTTTTTTATTGCTTTAATGCCCCTCTATTAGGTTCATTTTGACATTCAAGCCCCCCAAGTTTTCCAACCAAAAAAAATCCAACCGACAAACAGGTTTTTGTCTTGGAGTAAATGAGGACAATGCAGTACAGCACAGATGGTGAACATGCAAGAACAAGTGAGTTATATTTGTCGATGCTCGATGGACCATGGCAATGGCATCATCCAATTACATTACATGAATTCTTGATATGAGTAAGACCAATTTGGCTGATCAAGGAATAAAACATAATTTTAAGTTAAATTTCATACCACCCAGCTTGTCTTTGACTGTTCATGGATCCTCCACTTACCAGGGTCATGAAATATGCTCATCCTACTCTCTGTGTGCTTAAATTAGGTTGCCAATGGATTGGAGATCATCATCTGAATCTGAATACAATGCTTGAGTTGCATTTGGTTATTGAAAGATGAATTCATTTATTTACTACCTTCTCATTATTCTTTCTTTGTTCTTTCAATCCCAACCACCCAAGTTGGTTAATCACATTTCCCGGGCAAAATAACTGTTTATTACTTGGCTTTTCTCTTAAAAGCTAATCCCTTTTTTCCAACTAACTGGATTATTTGCTTAAGCAAAAAATAAAAGAAAAAACATGAATTATCTGACCATTTTCGTTTTCTTTTAAGAAAACTCTGTAAAGAGATAAAAGGGTATTTGAGTCAAGTACAGGAAGTATATATTCCTGTTAATGTTCATAAAGTGCATTAATTTTACCGTTAAGTGCCATTTTTTGCTCTTACTGCAGTCAGGCGTCTCCATCTTTTCAGCTCTGAGCGTATATATAATGCTGGAATGATGGGTGAGGACTGAGGAGGGGAGTCCAAGAAGAATGGACCCTGTTGTTGTTGCAGAGTAGCCCAGAAGAATCCTCCTCTATTCTGCTTCCCTTCACCGTTTCTTTTTTCTCCCTCCCTCTGTTCTTCGTATTTCTCTCCCTCCACTTAGTTTGGATTTCTAGGAGACTCTCACTCTCAGTAAGAAAGCGAAATGGAAACCACCTTGTTTTCCAAGTTGTTCGTGTTCTTCTTGGTTCTGTCTGTGAGTTTCCAGTGGATACTATGCACTGTAACTTATGATAGGAAAGCTATTATCATTAATGGTCAGAGGAGAATCCTCATCTCGGGCTCCATACATTACCCACGAAGCACCCCTGAAGTAATTATTTTCCTTTATCTCATTTCTCCAGTTCTTTCTGCAACTTCTTTTGCTGTGTAGATGTATCTGGTTTTGCGGTATTTGTTCCTGATATTTTGTTGTTTGGCTGAATTGCGTTCGCTGTAGATGTGGGAAGATCTTATACAGAAAGCTAAAGAGGGAGGGTTGGATGTTATACAGACCTACGTCTTTTGGAACGTGCACGAACCATCTCCTGGCAATGTACTCTGCTAACTCTTCATTTTAATTCTTCTTTGTCTGTGTTGTCGTTGTTTACTCTACCCTTCTCTCTTAACTGTCTTTAATTTCTCTCACATTGACTACATTTTCTCTGTGTTCTTCTAATTTCTGCTGGGTCTTCAGTACAACTTCGAAGGAAGATACGATCTGGTTCGGTTCATAAAGACGGTACAGAAAGCAGGGCTATACGTTCATCTCCGCATTGGGCCTTATATTTGCGGAGAGTGGAATTTTGGGTACTCACTTTTTCTTTTCCTTTTCCTTTTCCTTTTCCTTTTCCTTTTCCTTTTCCATTTTCTTCTCCAGATCTGTTCGTGTTTTGTCACACCCTTAATTCTTGATTTGAGATAGATCTTTGTTATTTCTTTAGTTGTTATTGTTCTTCATTTACATTGTTGATTTGAGAAGGAACTTAGATCTTCTTCTCTATTTTATTCTAGTCTTTTTTTTTTATTATTATAATACAAGAGGAAAGGTGGGTTTTTGTTGGTTTAAGATGGATCTTTCTTATACTGTTGATGCTTAACGTGACCTGACTTTCGTCTCCCCACCCCTCCTTTGTGTAGAGGATTTCCAGTTTGGCTGAAATATGTTCCAGGCATCAGCTTCAGAACAGATAACGAGCCTTTTAAGGTCTCCGCTTCCGCCACTCCCCTTTACTTTTTTTCTTTTCCATTTTTTTCGCCTCCCCCTTCGGACAATCTTACTTTTTAATAATTAATCCAGATTTTTAATTGTGATTACTTAAAAGAGTTTCAATATTTTTAAATTTCCTAAATTTGTTGTAGTGCAGATGGCAATGCAAGGTTTCACGCAGAAGATTGTAGAAATGATGAAGAGTGAAATGTTGTTTGAGTCCCAGGGTGGCCCTATCATTCTTTCTCAGGTACCAGTTATTGGTCTTTGGCTTTGCTGTTTGATCTGGAAGTGATCAACCACATCTGAAGGTTTGTTTGAGTATTAGTTATTGGGTAGGGTGGTATACAGCAAAGTTGATCAGCTTGGTTCTTCCACAAACTGAAGAAGCTTAAGAAAAATATAGGCTCTCGTGCCAGTAGATGTAACTATTTTACAATAATTTACGATATTCAATGACATTGATTCTGTTCATGCAGATTGAGAACGAGTATGGGACAGAAAGTAAAGCATTTGGAGCTGCTGGTCATGCGTACATGACCTGGGCTGCAAATATGGCTATTGGATTGGGTACTGGGGTCCCATGGGTTATGTGTAAAGAGGGAGATGCCCCGGATCCGGTGGTAAGCATCAAACATGATTTTCCCAGCCAGATCTATCCCAACTTGTATTGTATCTCTCTGTTTGATATTAGTTCTTGTCTGTCAGTTGATATCTTAAGTTCTTACCCTTTATTATTCTTTTCAATTTCTTGATTTGTTCTTGGCGCTTGGTTCTTGGGTTGTCTCAGTCTTACCCTGCCTTGCTGATTCTTGCTGAATTCTGTACTGGCAATAACTACTTTCTATTGTTTTTAATGCCCTTCATTGATATTTGATTTTTCTGTTAAAAAGAAGAGAAGAATCAAACTTTTCTATCCTTGATAGAGTTCATCATCTCAGTTATTTGTCTAAGTTGATTTGAGTATACATTCTAAGTCTGTTTTCATCTAAATCATGATAACAGATAAATGCTTGCAATGGTTTTTACTGCGATGCTTTTCATCCTAACAAACCTTACAAGCCTGCAATGTGGACTGAGGCTTGGAGTGGCTGGTAAATGATTTCTTCCTTTCAAAATTTGTTGCATAAGATATGAAACATTCCCTACTCTCACTAATATTTCCCTTGTTGATCAAAATGAAAGGTTTACAGAGTTTGGTGGCACAGTTCACCAAAGGCCAGTTCAAGATTTGGCATTTGCAGTTGCTCGCTTCATACAAAATGGAGGCTCCTTTGTTAATTACTACATGGTTAGTTTTATTAGTTGTTTGGCTTTTAGTTCCAATCATTTATTATGTGAAAACATAGTTCAATAAAATTGGGGTATGGAACTGCTTGCAAACAGTACCATGGAGGAACCAACTTTGGACGCACTGCTGGAGGCCCTTTCATCACTACCAGCTATGATTATGATGCTCCAATTGATGAATATGGTGAGAAAATTGAACTTATTTTTCGTGATGCAGCATGCTGATGGATTTGGTTATTAGAATTTACAGGACCTTAGGTCTCTGGCTAACCCGCCTTTTCATGGTAATATGGTAGGTTTAATCAGGCAACCAAAATATGGACATTTGAAGGAGCTTCACAGGGCTATTAAGCTGTGTGAGCGATCTTTAGTTTCATCTGATCCCACTATTACCTCATTAGGAAGCTATCAACAGGTCAGTTATCTTAGTCTTTCTGGGATTACTTTTCTTCCTTAGTTGGACAGAGAGGTTTTTATTTTAATTGGTTAGTTCTAGATTGTTTCCTATCCATGTTTAGTACTTAAAACTTCCCTTTGAATTACATGTCTGCACCATATCCTACTGCAACCCTGTTCTGTCCGGATAACAAGTTTTAACATAATAGGCACAAACCATTATCACCAACTTGATTTAATGATTGTTTCTTGTCCAGGCTCATGTGTTCTCTTCTGAGTCGGGAGATTGTGCAGCTTTTATTGCAAACTATGACCCAAACTCTGCTGCAAGAGTGATGTTCAATAACATGCACTACAACCTGCCACCCTGGTCCATCAGCATCCTTCCAGATTGCAGAAATATGGTCTTTAACACTGCAAAAGTAAGTAAAATAGATCATGTGATAAATCTTTTTTTCTTCCAGTTGGTATTCCCAATGGTTTCCTTTGGTTCCTCGGCGGGAAAAGTCAATGCCTAATGGAAGTCACCACAACTTTTCCCTTCCCACTCTTCCAAGGAACCAAATGCAGCATAACTCAAGTACTTAACTAATTCTTAAAGCTGGCTGACCTAATTGAAATTATCATCAAAACCTTATCCAAACTAATTGTTATCCATTCCAAAAACGAATTACATTACAGTGTGGTGGATGTCTATTTTTGTTATGTCAGTATCTTTTTCCAACTCCAAGGACTTACTTGGGACAAACTGGCTGATGTTATAACTGATAACTTGTTATGTCTTGTTGCAGGTTGGAGTTCAGACATCACAGATGCAAATGTTGCCCAGCAACTCTGAGTTGTTCTCCTGGGAGACATATGATGAAGATGTCTCTTCACTGGAAGACAATTCAATGATCACTTCAGTTGGTCTATTGGAGCAGATAAATGTTACCCGGGATACCAGTGACTATCTGTGGTACATAACTAGGTGAGGCTAATGCATCAAGTCACCCTTTGGTACTCAAACTCCCAATTTCCATTGAGAAATCTATGTATTGTTTACTATTTTTAAGGATTATTCAAGTTTTAGTAGTCAGAACAAGGAACATTCTGTGCTGAATGCCTTATCTTAACTAACATGTGTCATGTAAGATGGGTCTGGATCCACCACCCTCTCTAGGAAACCGCCTTTAATCAGATTATTTTGGACAGAAAGTTTGTTTTTCCCTGGAACTTCAGTGGGTTTTTTTTTTTTTTCTGGCCAAATCAGTACAATGAAGACAAATCAGTGAAAATGAATTCTCACCATCATATTGGGGCCATCAGTTGGTGTAAATCTCAGGCTGACAAGAATGAGAGCATAAGTTTGTCCCTGAGAGCAGCCATTTTGTGCAAGAAAATGCTGAAGGTTAGGCCCATATCCAGTGCACCCTTCCTAAGACAGGATAGGTAGGGAAAACATTGGGTGATGGGCATTTATATTGAATGTAATCACTTGAACTGACCCTTCAGATGTTGGGTCCAGATTCTCTCTTTTCCAGACATGTGAAAATTCATAACATTTTAATTGTTACATTATTAGTTGCTCTTGTTTCACACCTAAGTAACTACAAAAACAACCAATGGTTGCTCTCAGGAATGTTTAACCAGTCCCATATTGTGTTTTCTGACCTTCCAAAAGAATAGTTACATGCAATGGTTAAGATCATTTGATTGCAACGTGAACATCATCCTCGTATATTAGAAAAGTCCTTGATGGAGGCCATCAAATTGCTGCTCCTGATTAGCTGATTCCCCTCCTCCGTGTCACATTTATTGGCAGAACAAGTGTTTCCATTTAGACAGTTTTTTTATAACATCCCAAAGAAATGTTCCTGGTATTTCCTTCCTTCCAAGGAAGCAGAAAATAGTTGGTTTTCTGTACCACAGGTTTATAAGTTTTTTAGTTGTATTTTTTTTGCAGTGTTGACATTAGTTCATCAGAATCATTTTTACGTGGAGGACAAAGCCCCACTCTTATTGTGGAGTCAACTGGCCATGCTTTGCATGTCTTTATCAATGGACAACTTTCAGGTACATTTCATGGAGCCACTGATTCATAAAGAAATGTTGCCTGATTATTTAGTAGATCCTTTTTCATTCTGCCCTTCCTTGATTATAGGATCTGCCTCTGGAACAAGGGAAAACAGGAGGTTTATGTTTACAGGAAAGGTCAACCTGCGGGCCGGAATCAATAAAATTGCTCTCCTCAGCATAGCGGTTGGATTGCCGGTTGGTTCTGTAACTAAATTAGTTTTCTGTTGGCAAGGGTACAATGACTCAGTGTTTGACTGTGCTACCAGTATGGATTCTAGTTATCATCAATTTCACAAAAAACTTGATTTCTTTGAGCTGAACAAAATCAAAATCACCAAGGTTGTGCATGGTGGGGTTTCTTAAGTATAAAACAAGGAAAGCCCAGTCTAGGGTATTTGATAGCATGCTTGTTTGGTCGGCCCCGCTGAGAAATTATTTACCACACTAATCTTCTGACTGGATTTTTGCTTCTTAATAACGTCAAAAAAACAAAACCAAAAAGAAAAAAAAAAAAAAAAAACTATTGAAGGAGCCGGACTAAAAGCAGTTTAGAATTTTGGGTTAAAAAATAAAATTATAAAAGATAGTGATGATTAAAAAGAATAAAAACTTTTTTAAGTAAAATGAAGATAAACTATGTTATATGGTGTATTGGAAAGTATAATTAATTATTATATGGTGGGATATACACACTGTATATGCAATAAATATTGCACTTAAATTTTGGCAAAATGTCCAAAGTTTGTGGAAAGTATTGGTCCATTTGACACAAAGAAAATGTCAAAATTTCATGGAATTAGCAGAAAACTGAATTGAGGAAAACAACTTGGTTGAAAAGAAATGAAAAGGGGACTAACTCTCTGAATCCAAGATTCCAACTGGGGCTGAGTTCACTTGGTCAGATCACCAAAACTAGTTTTTAGTAAGGTTCCTTAAGTACTTCTCATTTCTGACCTTACTTCTGTTTGTTTTGTTTGAAGAATGTTGGAACACATTTTGAAGCGTGGAAAACAGGAATTCTGGGTCCAGTTGTGCTACATGGCCTCGACCAGGGAAAAATGGATTTGACCTGGCAGAAATGGTCTTACCAGGTGAATCTTTTATTCTGTACTTATTGGTGGAAAAAAAAAAATCAGTAAATTTTTGCCTTACCGAGTGTTTCTCTACACAGGTTGGCCTGAAGGGAGAGGCCATGAATCTTGTCTCCCCCAATGGGATTTCATCTGTTGATTGGATGCAAGGGTCATTAGTTGTGCAGAAACAGCAGCCATTGACATGGTATAAGGTAAGAAAACAAGGGCCAACACAGCTTCAAGCTATTGAAAACTTAGGCATCATTATTAATCAGTGTTTTAAAAGGCATATATATGCCAGATGTGTTGATACCTCTGAGGCATATGCCTTTTGCCTCACGCAGACCTCATTCCTCTTATCTTAAGAAGGCATAGCCTCCATGTGTTCGGGAGGCTTATGCCTCTTATGTTTTTGAACTATGACCCATGCCTCGAAGTAATGGAATGCCCCACGTTTTAAAACATTGTTATTAATTCATACCCTGATGGTACTTGCAGGCTTATTTTAATGCACCTGAAGGAGATGAGCCATTGGCCTTGGACATGAGTAGCATGGGAAAGGGTCAAGTATGGATCAATGGGCAAAGCATTGGAAGATATTGGACCATCTATGCAAATGGTAATTGCAATGGGTGTAGTTATTCCGGAACATTCAGACCTCCCAAGTGTCAAATTGGTTGTGGTCAACCAACCCAACGATGGTAATGAGTTTTTTAATGGAAAACATTCAGCACTTGCATTGTTTTTCCTATTTTATAAAATGAGAGCCTACCCAAGCTTGGGATAGGAGACTGCTCCCTTCACTAGAATTCATTCTTCAAATTTTGTGTCTTCAGGTATCATGTGCCTAGGTCTTGGTTGAAACCAACACAGAATCTTCTGGTAGTTTTTGAGGAAATTGGTGGTGATGCATCAGGAATTTCTCTTGTAAAAAGATCAGTAAGCAGTGTTTGTGCCGATGTCTCTGAGTGGCATCCAAACATAAAGAATTGGCAAATTGAGAGCTATGGCAGAACTCAAGAGTTCCACAGGCCCAAGGTTCACTTGCGGTGTGCTCCGGGACAGTCCATCTCTGCCATTAAATTTGCAAGCTTTGGTACCCCTTTGGGAACTTGTGGAAGCTTCCAGCAAGGAATTTGCCATGCTCCAACCTCATACTCCGTCTTAGAGGAGGTACTGAAACATCTAGTGGTTATTAGCCATTCAACATTTTGACATGTGTTTGTGTATGCATGCACAAAAAGTAATTTGAAATGCTATATGCATGCATCCTGCTGTATGACAGTTGCTTGTTTTCCAGTGCCTATTCCTATCATATTTTTCTGTTTCCTTGTAGACATGCACGTTTATATGCATATGGTTTGGATTCTTATATTTTTGTTTGGCTCTCCCACAGAGGTGCGTAGGGCAGGAGAGATGTTCTGTAACCATATCTAACAGAAACTTCGGGGCAGACCCATGTCCAAATGTGTTGAAACGATTAACAGTGGAGGCTATTTGTGCACCTGCAACTACTACAACAGCCCGACCCAATTGGAGGGGTTGAAAAGGACAAAGGTAGGAGGGAAGAAAGGACCCTCCATATATAGGACATCATATGGAATGGTTTTCTATCGACTGTATACTAGCAGCAAAGGAAGAAGCAACGAGTGAAGGTAAAGAAATAAAAGAGAAAAGTACAGGAAAAGAGCTTTTTAATTTGATCCGAGGAACATGGATTTGCAGTTATCAATTGTGTAGAGTTGTTAGGGTGTCTCCTTCAGGATTGTTTTATTAATTTATGGGTTAGCATGTTTCTGTATAATAGTGGTTGTAGATTTGTGAGGGCACAGGCCCAAGAATTTAGTAATATGGGATCTGTGATGAATGCCAAACCCGGTCCCCGGACTTTTAACCGGAAGATGGACTGGGAAATGGGTTTCCTTCAACGGCCATGATGAATAATCCGTGTTGATGTGATTGTATTAGTGGGGAAAGTGAAACCCCAATTATGGATTGTTCTGGGAATAGATCCCAGTATGAGTGATGTTTGATGTGAAATTTTCTTATGGAAACAAGTGGGAAATCAAGGATTCCCATTAAATTCAATCTCTCTCTCTCTCTCTGTTCAATAACTAGTCTGTTAAACCACATGTATCTCAACTCTCAGGGGATGTTTTGGAGGTATTCTTTTCTCTTTTTTCTTTTATCGTCTGACACCAATTCGCCTGTCTGTGGGTCAGGACCGTCCGGTGCATTCATGCGGTCTACGTCAAAAGGCTTTATAGTTAAGTGTTAACCACAATTACAATGGTCCCATTTCCCACCTACAGTCTCTCCAGGCAAGTTGAGGTTAAGCATGAGAAAGAATACGCCAAACAGTTCAAAAATATTTCTTAGAACTTAGAAGCTCAGGTGACTGGTCAGTTGGCACCACTCACCACTTGTAACATCCCAGAAGGTACTAATAAAATCTGCCTATGGCAGGGAGCCAGGCATGGGGAGATGGCCGACCCTTTGTTTGCATCTATCTGTTTATAGGGCAAGTTAGGTAACGATGTTGTTGCATATTTGTACCACCCATCTGTTTCCACCTGTTTCCACCAAACATTCTTCACCCATGTTTTCTCCAAATAACATTGACAGATGCCAGAGATTCTCTTGTTATCCGTGGATCATTGTTCAGTGACTTCAGGGTTCAGGTCGCTTGCTTGGCTCAAACAACAGCCTAATTGCCTAAAGACTCCTCTAATCTGCTTTCAATTTGTGTCCAATTAACAAGATGTATTTGTTTTGCTTAGTATAAAACAACTAAGGATCAAACCTCCGCTAATGACCACTAACTCAACTGTCCAACAGAGGACAAACCAGGGCTTTGAATAACTCAAACCTAAAGAACATGTCTTCAGAAACAGACTTTATATCACTATACTTGAAAGGTGCCTTCAAGACCCACGCCGTCTGAAGTCTGAACGATAATTATTGATTGGAGTTTTGGAACCCTTGTGGAGACAACCAACTAGTTGTCCCATCTTCACTGAATGATCAAGGTTATCAAAATTGTATGAGAACTTCAGCTTCGTCGCGAGGATGATGATCAAAGGTTGCAACATCCACATTACGGAATTTTGCCAGGTGCACTTTAAGATGTTGACAAGTATCATTAAGTTCACCAGTTGCTTTATACGACCCATTCTAATTGATCAACAGGATTATCAAAAGCATTCTTTTCACCCAGACTACAGAGGATGCCCAGAACCGGTTTAGTCAGCCATTTCAGCTTGTCAAACTGGGCAGCCAAAATCTTTCTGACTTGTAAAATTTCCAAGAAAATACCGTACATTTCTCCATTTATAACAATGATTAGGGTCAGGAAGGTTCAATATTCACATGATAACTATGGCAACAGACTGCTCCATAAGCATTCTAGATTTGACACTAGAACAATTTGACACTCACGGTTTCTACTTCACAACCTTGAGAGTTGAGAATGAAAAACAATTCATCACTATGCATGTATTCCATTAATTTGATAGTAGCTGCCATCCTTGGAATTGCTGAAGTAGCCATCTAAATTTAAATGCCATAATAATATTATTCATAAGAAATCCCAAACAAGCCTCTGGATTAATAACAAGCTGACACTCAAATAAGGTTCTACTGAGGTAATATAAGCTTCATGGACATGAAAAATATATATTTTTCACACAGGAACCATGTGGGTCGTGATCTTCTGCTGCAGCTCCTCTTTTCTTGCACCCACAATCTTGTCAACTATCTTACCTTCTTTCAGGAATATGAAGGTTGGCATTGCCTCAACTTCCCAGTCAGTGGCAACAGACTGAAAATGGTACATTTCCATAATTAAGAAAAAAATAGTTAAGATAAATTAATGAACTGTTTAGAATACTTAAGTAATTTCATCACTTTAGGCAAGGAGATCATATTTATTTAGGGCTATGGCAAACATTAAATTCATTTACCTTCAATTCATCCACATCCACCTTCAGGAAAATGACATTGGGAAGCTTCTTAGCTAGCTCTGCCAGGATTGGGGTCATTAAACGGCAAGGTCCGCACCATGAAGCTGTAAAATCAACCACAACCTGCAAATTACAACCAAAGGAAATGTTGTTAACAAGGATGTCAAGCTACTGAATTTCCAATGGTAGAGGGTACCAGAATGCTAAAAATCTAATTGGCATGCTGAGTTCCAAAAAGTGGCAAATTGAAGTCTGCATGAGCTGCACTTGATGGCTGTGTCGGGGATGTTCAACCAATAATAACACCCTACATCAGCATCAAGTTATATGCCCCACAAACCACTCCAATCCCTAACTCCTCATTCATGGCTGTCATGGGGAAAAATTATTGGTTAAAAAGCCCCTAACACAGATATCAACTGCAGCTCATATTTTTTTCTCATTTTAGCTGGCAGCTTAGTCAAACTAAATAAGTAATGTACCTAGTGAAAGAAAATGCATAGAACATATTCAAAATCTTTACTTCTAACCTCTACACGATAGTAAAAGGAAAGGAAAAAAATTATATGGGATGTTTCAACATTTAAGTACCAGCACAAACTTGATAGGGCACCAAATTAAAATTCAAGTAATCAATTACAGTGAAAAACTGAACAGGAAACATAATTGAATAACTTAATGAAAAATACAATTTGATCTATCATGTACTCTTTTTTCTTTCATACAAAAGTTGTCTAATATATTTTGTAAGAAAAAAAAAACAAACTTTTATCAGGTTACAGGTTTAAGGGGCTAGAAGGGCTAGGGGTAGACCACAAAAGACGTGGGTAGAAGCAGTAAGAAATTATTTAAGCACTAATAAATTTAACAGTGGATATGGCTTTAAATAAAACGGAACGGCGAAACAGGATTCATGTAGCTGACACCATATAGTTGGGATAAGGCATGGACGACGACGACAATGATGATGATGATGATGACAATGACTTTTATCAGGTTCAGGTACTCAAAATGAGAACACCATGACACATGCTGGTCTTGCTTCACTCTCTCTCTCTCCTATATATATAGATGAGAGGGAGAGAGAGATTCACCACCTTAAGTGAACCACTACTGAATACCCGATAAAAGATTGAAAAAACTGATAAAAATCACCCTTATGCAAGAACAGCCCACCACTTAGCTACGCAAGCTCAAACAAAAATCTTAAACTTTGTATTTAAAGTTGCAAATTAGCAAAAATGGGTTTCTTAGGTTTCCTGGTCCAATTTTTTGTTTATGACCCCATCAAGAAGTAATCCAATTACTCAACAACACGAATAGATGAGTAATAAGGTCAAACATACAGGACCATTGAATCAATAGTGCATACTGACAGCATATTACATGAAATAATCCACTGTAGCTAAAATGTTGAAGCTAAAATAATAAAATACCACAATAAGCCAGCATGTATAGTGGGGTCTGGATGCAAGGAATTAAGGATCAGCTCTCTTTCTTCTCCAATACTTGACAAGCAAGTTGCTGGTCAAGTAGTTGATTATTATCATTAGGGGTATAAATGGATCTAATTCGAATTTGATTAGAAAATTTGATATCTATAATTCGATTCGATAACCAACAGATATTTGAAAATTAATATTTGAATTTGAAATCAATTAAATTGTTGAATATTTAATTTGATTTGAATTCAACCGATTAATTATTTTAGGTAATTAATATTTATTTAATATAAATATTTTATTTATATAAGTTATAAATTAATAAATTATATATTATTTAAATACAACATATTTGATTTGAAAAGAATTTCCTAATTGGATCAAAAAAGAAGACTCCCTAGTCCCTACATGAGCTACACTACTTCTGCCACATGGGGAGATGATATAGCAGATCCAAACCCTCTACCACATAGATGATGCCTTAGATTGGCCACATGTACAACCCTTTATAGTCTACATCAGCCCTATATACAACTTTGTATTGATTGTTTCAAGTATTAGCCATTTGTATACCGGAAAAACATGTAGTTCCCTTTGGGCTCTGAAGTAGATTTCTTTATGTTAGATTCATGGGTCATTTAGGGAAGTTTCCTAAACGACCTGACTATCAGACAGGTTCCCTATTTGGTCTCCCTCCTTTCATACTTTGAAAAATTCCTTCAGAACCTCAATAATTAAGATATAACCAATCAAATTATCTTTGCGAGGTTTAAAAGGCAATGAAGAGCTCTAATGAGTCTAGACAAAACAGGGGATTTGTTCCCTGAGCCCCTGACAGTGAAAGCAAGAACATATTTGGAATTTATAGAAATCAAGCAAACAACTTCATGAGTTGCAATTTAATAATGAGCCACCCAAATGAGGGGGCACTTTTAACCAGCCAATTGGTGTTAGCCTGTTAGGTGCGACTTCTATGCCTATGGGAGTGATTTCCCGCCAAAAACTTCAACCAACAAGCATCCATATGTTTTCATGTAACAAAAAGGTTGCATGCTTGCTAAAAAAACCTCCACAATCAATATTTGTTCATGGGGCCAGCCAATGCAAGGTTGGTTTAGTATTTTCTGATCTGACAACAGAAATTACGCATTCAGTGAACCATACCCTTTACGAGTAGCTGTGGTCCCTGTGGAGGGAAGTTGATTATCATACCCTTTTGTTTGTTATCCGATCAACTTATCATACTTTCCAGATGGTAAAAGAAACAAGAAAACAAATAAAGAGGCAAATCAGTATCCTGACAGCGCATGTTGTATTTCTCTCCCAAACAAAATACATTTGTCAATTTTTTTCATTAAGAAAATAAAAAGAAAAGAAAGAAACAGAAAGAAAGAATAATTCAGAAAACAAAGAAATCCCAATCCATTTTTCAAACTCTCAAGATCATAAACGTCACTGTTAAAAACCAACAATGGACCAATAATGCAGCATGAAAAACCCACCACCAAAATAAAATATAAAAAGGGGGTTAACCGTTCAGTCCACCCCTAGAAACCGTGCAGCATGAAACTCATCATGAGAAACCCCATCAACAGAACCACCCTTCGAGCACAATAACAGAAAGAAAAAAATGAAAACATATAAGACCAAAGCAAAAAAAATGGAGAGACCATTTCAACCAACGTGACCTTAACCTACACAAATACAAGTATCAAGAATGAATCAAAAAGAAAAGGAGTGAATCAAAACCCCAATTAAAATCAAACAAAAAAAAAAGATAAAGTAAATAAAGAGGATAATGATTTAGTAAAGATACCAGTTTCTTAGACTCGTTTCCCTTCTGGAGCTGCTCGTTCCAAGCCTCGACACTGTGACAACCGATCACTTGACCCTCTTCCGCCATTCTCCAAATAAGCCAAAGCAAGCAGAAGCAAAATATCACCAAAACCTCTCAAAAGCCGAACCAGAAACCGTATAGAGCAAATGTCAAACAGTTACCTCCTCCAAAATAAATATCTCATGGCCCTTGGGTTAGAATGTTGGGATATACGGTGGGAAAAGAAAGTATTCCCTATTTAAAAGCGTAAATTACAAAATTGCCACTCCACCGATAAGTTTGGGAGTGCTTATTAAAAGCAATTATGAGCATTTAGTGAAAAAAACACTTATTTTAAACAGGGATAATAGGTATTTTTAAAATGATGTGGCATTAAGAATGTCAATGGATCGAGTTTGGCATGGGTTTGTCTTAAGCCTAACCCGAGCCTCCAATGTCCCAACGCGAACTTGATTCGACCTAATCCCGTACCACTTCAAATGTATTTTTTTAATATGTTTCAAAGACCAAAAATTCATTATTTTTATAGATTTTAAAGTATCACTTTTCCCATTAAAAAAACTAAAGAAAACCAAAGTTACATGTATATATGCATGGTCCACTAGGGTATATATGCATGGTCCACTAGGGCGAGTCAGCTAAAACCCGAACTCAACTCAGATAAAAAATCAAAACCCTAACCCGACCTTAAAACCGAATATACCTAACCCTAACCCGTGAGAAATGCAAACTTTAATAGATTATATGGAGAGAAACATTACAATCAATAATATCGGGACTTTAGAACATGTACACATCATACAATAATTATCAATTTATTTTTGGAAAATTTTATTCATTCAGTATTTTTATATAAATAACAACTCTATTTTTTCGAATAATAAATATGTTTTCATTTTTTAACATATAATTATGTGTAAAACAAAACAAATAAATCGTTTAAGGTAGATAAAATATATTATTTTTATAACTTCCAGTTTTTATTAAAATTTTGAAGAAATTAAATCTTAAATTATTTATTTCAATTTTATAATTATAATAATTACCTTATCCATCGATACAATTTGATGCAGCATACAACGCTATACGCTTTCATCAAATAAATAAATTATTTATTTTAGCTTTATAATTATAATTTTTTAAATTTTATTAAAATGGAAAACCAATCTAAAAGCAATCAATGTACAATTTCATCAAATTAGGCAATAATATGTTTATGTATCAATTGATTCCATCGATACGATCTAATACGAAGGCAAATTGTGTGGATATGCATGACTTATGAGATACATACCCAATCGTGCCATATCCCATATCCATGACCATGGGTATGGATATTGTTCAGGTCATGGTTGACTTGCCCTTGGACGCTATGTGGCTGCTCAGTCATTGCCCGGTCACCTAGGCCATGTTAGTGCCGCCCTACCAGCTCCGCGACATGTACCGATTCCGCAGTCATGACCGTGCTACGCTACTTCCGTAGCCCCTACCTTATCCTTCCAGCCACGTTGACTCCACGTCATGCGGATAAATACAACCAAGAATAGGAGAGGATGGGGACAATTCCATTGGGGATTAGGACTCTATCTCGAAGACCTCGGTGGTTAACCTCATCCCGGCAACCCCGAAAGCCAAATCCGATCGGGACATGGACCTTCGGCTATAAAAAGGTATCTCCTGCTCAAGGTAAGGGATTCCAACTTCTAGCACCCATATGGTTACTTTGCTCAGACTAGCACTCTCATTGCTCGGCCCGACCACTAGACCTGTTCATGGGCCGGTTTTGGCCCGCGGGCTTAACCTCGAGCCAAAAAGTCCGGCCCGCATAAAATTCGAGCCGGGCTCGGGCTTTGCCAAAATAGCCCGGCCCGGCCCGACTTATAGTTAAACTTAAGTAAACCCAGCCCAACCTATAGTTAAACCTAAGTAAAAACCCTATGTGATGTCTATTTGAATAAATGTTTTAATTTGAGGTCATTGATTCACTTGTAGACCCATTGTTCATTTAAATAGGGGAAAAAAACATTTAAATTAAAATAGAAAATGTCAGAAAATTTTGAATTTCTTTTATTAGGTCGGGCTTCGGGCTTTTCATCAGGGCTGGGCTCGGGCCCAAGTTGTAGGCCCGTTGGTCGAGCCGGGCTCGGGCTCGGGCCTAACAATTTTCTGTTAATAAAGAGTCAAAGCCCGGCCCGAGCCCGGCCCATGAACAGGTCTACCGACCACCCACCACTGTCTATTAACTTGAGTGTCGGAGTACCTATTCGAGGATAACTCCTCGGTCCTCTGACATCTTTATTGATCACAGATCTTGGAGCGCGACTTTGTCCTTCCACCTTGCCTCTGCCCTGTTGGCAAGGACTATCTGACTGCAACCTCGGTTCATTCACCACCACGGATTGAGTAGCATCAGATTGGCACTGTGTGTGGGAAATGCACAAAAAGTCTTTCCTAAAATCTCTCTCTCACCGCGCACTCAAGAAAGCGATCAAGATGCCCAGAAATCATTCCGAGTGTTCAACAAGCCGATCCCCATCTCGGGAATCTTGCCACCGCAGCCCCCTGCACCAAGAAACTCAACAGCCGCCAGCCACGATCGACCTTGTACAATTCTAAGCAATGCAAGAAAAGGTCGACAAAATCTTTGAGATGATGTCGACGCTGGGGTCCGCGGCACCGCCCACTCAGACTGTCCTCCTTGTTTCCCCGACATGTATGAAGGATGATCCTTGCCCCGAGGACCCCAAAACGTGTCGGTCAAACAAGAGGGGACCGCGATCTGGTCAAGAAAAACAAGATACGGCAAGAAGGTCCACCTCCTCCGCCCGCTCTCGTGAACCTGACAAACGTAGGACTTATTAGACTACACGGATCCTCGCCAAAGAAAGGCTCGGCAAGCAGACGCCACCCCATGTGGTCTCCATCGTCGAGTCTAGTTCAGTAAAAGATCACCCTGCACGGCTCAAGAAAGAGAAGGCCACAGATGCCACAATCCCAGATGACAAGGACGCAAAAATACGGGAGCTCCGACAACGCTTGACGGAGTTGGAGTGTAGCCAAGCTCAAAGGAGCGCGGTATCGCCTATAGACCAGCCCGTGCAACCGACCATTCAGCCCATCAGATAACCATCCTTCATCCAAGAGATAGTGGATGAGATACCCCCTGCAGGGTGGCGAGCACCTCAGTTCGACAAGTACGATGGGAATATCGATCTTGACGACCATATTGAAGCACTGAAGGCTCAAATGATGCTGCATGGGTCTTTCGAGGGCTTGATGTGCAAAGCTCTCATGGGTTGCATCATAAAAATGTTTTAAAAAATCTCCTATACAAATTGCCATTTCCTAGTCTTCCCCAAATATAATATCAATAAGCATTTTTGCATTATAAAAATCACTAAGAATTTGTTTGTGAGAAATACAACTTTCTAACATAGCATAGGTAGAATTCCATCTATGTTTAACATATAATATAAAATGTTTATATTTTAAACCATAATTTAGACATAAATATTTATTCTTATTTTCTTGCTCCATAACTTTTAATATATAATATAATTTCTAATTTTAGAAATATGAGTAGAAATAATATTTAAAACATCCTGAATACATAAATTTAAGATGTGACATGCACATCTGATATGAAATAATTTACCATTTAAACATGGTTTAAATTGAGATTTTAAAATATTTATTGCTGAATTATTATTACTAGCATTATAAAAACTAATAGAAAATAATTTCTTATTATTTTCATAAGCATGTATTTAAAATACTTGCAGCAATAGTTGGGCCAGTATGTGGCTATTCAAGCCTAGTAAAACTTAAAAGCCAATTTTCATCAATAAAATGAATAGTAACACAAATATGATTTGTGTTAAACTTAGAAGTCCAAATATTAGAAGTAATTGCAACTTTAGAATTAAGATTTGATAACATATAAATTAAATTTTGTTTTTATGAATAAAAATTTTTTTAGGCATCTGATCTAATAGTATTCCTAGAATTTTTTTTAAATTGTGGATTTACAAAATTACGTAACCATTTTTCAACTTTAGTATCTTCAGCTAACAAAAATGGTTGTTCAACATGTACTATGTACTTTGCTAATTCTTGCCCTATTATTTCTTGAGAATATTTAAAACTACCAACCCCCCCCCTCCCCGCTCAATTTGTGTTTGTATTGTTTCTCTCCCTTCTTCTTCTTTCTCATGAGTGAGCAAATACCTACCCAAATGGCCAGTACCACCCTTGATATAATAGCTAAAGTTTTTCCTACATTTTTGGCAAATAGTTCTTTTTCCCTTCCCCTAAACCTCCTATATTTTAAATATTTTCCAAACCGGGCTAATCAACTTAGTGGCCTTTTTTTCTTTCCCCTAGTATCAGTATTAGGGTTGAAAGTTCCATTAATATCAATAGCATCCACATCGGTGCTAATTGCACTTATTTGGATTGTCAGTTCAGAATCCCAACTTGATTTCAACGGTTGAAGCCTTTAAACTTCAAGAGTCCAAGCCTCCCAAATTGCTAACTTGAGAGTTGAGATACTTGAGCTGTTGAGCAAGCCTACTTTTTGTTGAAACTTCAATAAAGTTGAGAATTGGAGAATCAAAGAATGTATAAGAGATTGAGAGATTGAGAGATTGAGACTTGAGAGATTATGAGAACTAGATAAGAGATTAAGAGAATTGTTGAATTGGTGTGATAAGAATGGTGAAAGATAAGGCTACTTATAGGAATTAAAAATACTTCAATTGCCCAAAAAACCCTAAAAACTAGTCGTTTTTTAGTTGTTGGAAGCGGTATTTTGGTCATTGTAAAGTTATTTATCACTTTACCCAAAATGCCCCAAAACTAGATAGCTATTAGGGGGTATTTCTATAAAAAAAACCCATAAAAGCTGAAACTAGCAGTTGGGGCGGGGGGACCGAGCGCAATCCACTACAAGCCCATGGGCCATGCCATGTCGACCTGTGACGGGTCGTCCTATGTGCACATAGTCGTGCCAACTCGTGATGTGTTGTCCACGTGTTGTATCACAAGCGGCACGACCCGATTTACACCTCTACCTCCTCTTCTAGAGGTATGCCAAGTGTAGACAAAGATTAATGAACACAATAGTTGTTTAGTAGGTTGTGGAACCAATTATAACATCCACACCAGTCTTGGTTGGCAAACTGTTAATTATGGTGCGACACATGTGCTAAACAATAAAAAAAAATCACCCATAGATCTAAAATCTGCTATGTTTTTGTGTTTTTTTTTTTCCTGATAAAAATCTCACTTAACCCAAAGAAACATTCAACAGTTCAATGATTCAACCAAACAATAAATTGAGTGATTTTATGCTAAGACTGCATTTGTTTGAGGTGTAAATTCAAATTTTACACGATGAGAAAATATGAATCAGTTTTGTGATTGATGGAAATTGGGACCAGTTGATTTTGAAAATTTACACCAACCATGTTTGATTGTCAAGGTGTAAATTAAAAAGCTATTTGATTAAAAGTGAACAAACGCACCAAAGACATAAGTTGGGTCTCGACGAAAAATGCACCAGAGACAATGAGACCCAACACACCAGAGACAAAAGTTTTTCGCATAAAAACTGGGTCTCGACGGAGCAACAGCCGCTGCTGAAAACAACTACTTCATGTAAGTGTTCGCTTGTAAGAGACAAGAAGTTGGGTCTCGACGGAAAACACACCAGAGACAAGTTTTTCGCATAAAAACTGGATCTCGACAGAGCAACAGCCACTGCTGAAAACGATTACTTCAGGGAAGTGTTCGCTTGTAAGAGACGAGAGTTGGGTCTCACTGCTCAAGGAGATTCTTGAACCAAACAACTGGGTCTCACCACTCAAGGAGATTCCCGAACCCCGAGTTAGGTCTCACCGCTCACTGATAATGTCGAATCCTAAAAGGAGAACAGGGGAGAGACCGTTGGACAGAGGAGACAATTGATAAGATATATAAACACCTCTACCAAATGCTTACAAAATCAAACCGAGATATAAAATTTACCCCAATTCTCATTTACACTTTAAACAAATGCAGCCCAAAGGCCTACTTGACATTAAACTAGCACCAATTCTCCGAAAAACACCATCTACATTGAGAAACTTCATTCTCTCCGCCTTGAAGATAGAATCTGCTGCTTACTCATGTGAACACATTATATAACAAGTGAACATGCCAATATTCCATACATTATATAGAACACTAGCTAGTTACATAGCCCGTAGGTACACAGCTGAGTGAGCCAGATGATCCGAGTGCTCCCCGTATCCCACCTGTTTGCGAAAGCAACAGTTGTATTTTATCCACAAGCCAAGGGGAATACTTGAGATTCTTTGGGGCCCAAGCCCAACCATCTTGCCATGTGAAAGGTTACTGGATGGTTCACTAAACGATCTGACTACCAAAGGCTTGACCGATCAACTCCGCGAGACTGTCCCCAGTTATGGGGACAGGCATCGAACAATCAAGAACTCTCCTTTCGTTTTCTTGTGCCAGGAGAGCTGTATTTGTATTTTCACTGCCGAATACAAACTGGTGGGTCAAAAGTTGTGTGTAATAAACAGGTTGGTGGGCAGCACGTTGAACATTATTTATATTATGAGAATAGAGATGAGAACAAATCCAACCTTATACAGAAAAGGGGTAAGCTATATATAAGTGCACGTTTGGGAGGGTTGTTAATAAACTAACAACGGTATTAACCCTATTATGAGTGCCTTCACCATTTTACTCCTTTAATCAGGCTAGAATCTCTTTTATCCTGAGATTACCTCCATGAGAAAAAGCATGTAGGTTTATTTCCCCATTAAATAGTGCAGAATCACAAATAACAATCATAGCCCCTCTTTTGTTAATGTTGTTTAAGCCCACCAAATCCTTTTTTTTAAGCCCACCGAAACAGAAGAGTGATTTGTCAATTTTAACATGCTGCATCATTCAATCAATCTAGACTATCAAATCTATGTGCGACCTCTTTTAAGTTTTAAGGCCACCACAACTTTGAAAATTGAAACCCATTTGAAATGGCCCATTGATATTGAAGGGCTTGGTGTAGCGATCATGAACACAGCTAGCCCAACAGAACAGGTCCCACGTAATTACTTTAACCGTTCCATTTAGCACTTACATTTGTACCACCTATCAAAACAAAATACATACTGGACCCAAAAAGTAAATAAAACCATGGGCTCCTCACATGTGAGAGAGACTCTTATTATAATCTATACTATCATTAAAAACTAGAAACTACCCACCAAACCAAAGTCACTTCATATCGTATCACCTTATTTGCACTAAAAAAAAAAAGATCAGACAAAAGTTACCACGGGAGAAAGCAGAGAGAGTCAGAGACAGAGAGAGAGAGCAAGTGACCTAATTAAGGGCAGCCGCAGGCGGTGTTGGTAGTAGTGGAGGCTGTGGATGGTTTTTGAATGACGAAGGCCATGCACTGAGCCTGTCGCTTGTTGTCAAAGGCCAAGCAACGGATATAGGCGTTGGGATACATCTTCTTGCACTCATGGATCTCCTCCAGCACCTGAGATGAGTTGCTGCACCCAAACATGGGTAGCTTCCACAGTGTCCAATATCTACCATCATAGTACCCAGGCATCCTGCTATTACTCCTATGCACATGACCCACCTTCAACAAATAGAAATAGAAAAATAAAGAAAACACAACATTAAAAAAATTAAATGAAGAACATTAACTGAAGAACTTGAGAGTTCTGAGAATTTAATTTCATCACCAATTGATGCAATCAAAGTTGAAAGTCTCTCTTTTTATTTAGTACATCATTCATGGGCAATATGAAGACAGGTTCTTTAACAAAAGAAAATAGATTTGTATTTCTTCCTTACCTCGTCGAATTCGATACAGGGGATCCATCCCTTTCGAATGATATACTCGATCTCCTTTGCGATCGACTCATCTGAGAGAGGTGGGAGATACGAGAGCGCCTCGAACTTCTTGTTGTTGATTGGATTCCATGTCTGTTCATCATGAACCCAAGACAGATGAAGAGGATAGTGAGAAGTATTGTAACAACTAACAAGTGGATGGATATATGCTTTCTCCAAGATGATCAGAACATGATCGATATTACCTTCATACAGTGAGTCCTGGAGCCATTGGAGACAGTTTTCAACCTCCACCCGATCGAATCCTTCGCCGGGAACAGCTTCGGGGAACTGGGTTTCAGGCCTGTGTAGCTGGATCTGACCAACGGAGTGGAAAGGGCAATGGCAGACATTTTTTATCCCGCTTCGGTGCTAAAGGTTCTGTGACTTAAAAAAAAATAAGTGATCAGACATCAGAACAAGGACATAGAAAATACTAGTAGTTCTGTGTGAGAGCGGTGACCGTAGTTTATTTTTGGGGGGTAGTGGGAGTGCGGAACTGGCTGGGGAAAACGACAAAAGGAGAATGCCTGGGCGATCGTCAGGTGGAGGGTTGCGATTGTTTATAACTTTGGAGGTTACCCAGACGGTGGAAACGAGGCGTTAAGGAGCGTCTTCTTCTGGACTTGTGCACGTGGCAAACGAACCTGAGGGTTAAATCTAATATTTAACACGTTGCCAGTTGTATTTGCCACTTTCCAAGTGAATCACCCGTTCAGGAGCATTGAGGATGGCAATTTTTCATAGGTAGGGTTGGCAATTCTGACCCCAATCCGATGTTGTACAATCTGGGCACTCCTATCTGGCTGTGACTTGGCTTCTAGTTCGGACGGGTGGCACCTGAGGGGAAGAAGAAGGTGAAGGATTCCCAGGAAGCTCTCCTGGTGGGAATACTTCGATGGCTAAGTTAGAACTGGAGAAATTTCAAAGGAAGAACGGAGAGTAAGAGTGTTGAAAGTGCTTAAGCTTCAATACCTTTGCCTTGTGAGGGTTGGGGTCCTTTTATACCGGAGCTCGGTCACATCAGGTGTAACCGTCCCTGCCCTAGCCGTTACTGACTGGGCAGAGGTGGCAGGTGCAGGCTGCCACCACAGGCTGCTACTGCAGGGCACGGACGTCAGGCAGGCCATGCCTTTCAGAGACGGCAGGCAGAACGCCGCCTGGCAAGGGATCCGAGCACTGCCACCGGATTCGGCAGGTACAGATGTCAGGCAGATCTCCTTGCAGTCTGCCAAGCTACCGTGCACCGAACCACTTGGGGCAGGTTTGCCATGCACCGAGGCGCCGAGGTACACCGAGGTGCCCGTACTGGAGGTGAGCCTTAAGCAAGTACGAGCAAGAGTCTTGATGGTGCTATCCCGAGGTGTTTCTCCCTCAGGACACTTAGCCAAAAGTTGGGGTGCTTCCTTCTTGGGAAGGGAGAGCTCGGAGTCCCTTAGGAGGAACTCAGGTTCCACGAGGAGCTTGGGTCCCTTTTCACGGGGGAGCTCGGGGGCTCCATCCTTAGGTTTGGGGCAAGTGGGGCCCGGCTTCTCGACGAGCTGTCACACCCGGCGAGTTGTTTGACCGGGCCTCGGTGAGCTTGCTGTGCCGAGTAGTGGCCAGGCTGTCATGCTGAGTTGTCACTTATGCCAGGTCATGTCCACGTGTCCCCATGCTAGGGGTGTTGACCTAGCGCGAGGAGTCCACATTCTGTCGGGTGGATTTGGCTCAGAGTCCAAACTTTCTTGTCTGCCAGCTCATAGGTTGGACCAGTCTTCTGCTCGGTTTTGCCAGGCGCAGCTCGGGTCGCGTACGGTCTACGCGCGGATGTCACGCGACTTATAGACTCCGCGGGCGTCAAAAAATGCGCTAAACTGATTTTGCCTCGAAGGTCGCGCAGCCGGTTTTTATGAGAGCTGTCAGATTGCTTTGATCTCAACCGTTGATGCCCACGGATAGTGGCTATGAATAGTGGGGGTCATGGTGATTTTCCTTCGCCACAAACATTCAGCTGTAGTCTTGAGCTCGCGTCCAAAGTCTTCTGCTTGGGTTAGTTCCTTTCCAGTCCAGTCTTATTTTTCTTTGGTGAGTCACCCTAGCTTCTTCCTTAGTTTCAATTATGTCTTCTTTTGATAGCCTTTTAGATGAGCCCAAGGTGCCCGAGGTGGGCACCTCGGCTCAGGGTAACCCTACCGAAGTCCAGTCTCTCGAGGCGCGGGAGGCCTCGGGTCACCAAGCATCCACCTCTCATCGAGTTCGGATGCCATATAGGTTCGGGCCCTCCACCATGACCTTGGAGAAGCTCCACCACCAACTCATTCGGCAATATAACATGCCAAGGGAGTATACCTATAGTTTACTTGCGGGGAACTTCCCATGGGAGCACGGCCCTAATGAGGTCGTGATCTTCCGAGAGCAGCTCATAGCCGAGCTGCGCCGTCCCTTCCACCCACTCTTAGTGGAGGTCCTGAAGCACTTCAACGTTACAATAGACCAGCTTCACCCGAACTCGGTCCATAACGTGGTCGGGACCATCTCTCTTTGTTATGAGTATGTCATGCCCCTTAACCTGAACATACTCTGCTCCATCCTCACCATCAAGAAGAGCGCTTCGTGTGTTCTCCCCAAGCACAGGAGGGCCTACTAGTCCCCCCACCCGGGCTTTAAGCTAATGCCCAAGCTTCCTAGTAAGGTCCCGGCCTGGAAGCAGCCCGCGGGGTGGCCCTTCCCTACTCACTGGAGGGCGGCTATCCAAGACCCTGGCGTCATACTTGACAGGAACACCAGGGAGGCATTCCAGTCGTGGGCTGAGGTCGGTTGCAATTTCAGAGATTATATCAAAGAGGGTATGCTCTTCCAGGCTGGCTTGAGCCCGGGTAGGTAGTTAGTACCTTAGTTGTTTGGTCTGCTCTCCTTTTCCTTCTTTTACTCAAATACTAATGCCGAACTCTTTTGCAGGTCCTATGGAGGCAGACAAACTCAAGGGAGACCGTTTCTTTAAGCATATGAAGGGGAGGAAGAAGCGGGCTGCCAAGAGAGCTCGTATTGAATCACCGCCTGCCCCCACTCCCGAGCCCCAGCTTCCACCGGCTCCAGTCTCTGAGCCCGAGCTCCCAGGGGCTCCTCCGATCATCGACTTGGAGGAGTCTCTACCGCCTAGGGAGCCTGAGGCCTCGGCTGAGGCCGTTGTGAGGTCGATAGCCGAGGCCAAGGTTGCCACCGGAGCTGCTAACGTTGCAGCTGGAGTGTCCACCGAGCCCATTCACACAGCCGAGATGACTGTCTCTAGTTCGGGGAGCTCGGATGGGGGCCGAAGCATCCTGCTCCCACAGTGCGGTCTTCAAAAGAGCAAGGGGGCCACTTACTCCGAGGAGATTTCGGTTTGGGCCGATATGCTCAACCCTGCTCAGCTTGGAGCCCGGGCTACCACCCACACTATGGTGGTAAGTTTCCTTCCCTTTTCTTTTCCTTTTGTATTTGTGCTTCTTCAGTACTAACTATCTTCTTTGTCAGGCAAACTCTGCCATGCACGCCCTTACCCTTCAGTCCGAGAGGAACCTGAAGCGGGCTTTGACTGCCGAGGAGTCTTCCCGCTCTGCCCATACCGAACTGATGATAGCTCGTGAGCAGATCCATCGGTTGGAGAGCGGTGCCATGGCCCAGAGGGGCGTCAACACAGCGCTTACGACGAAGAAGGACGAGCTGGCCCATGAGAATAACGAGCTGAGGGGCGAGATGGAGGCCTTTAAAGCAGAGTTGACACGGGAGAAGGTTGTGCTAAAAGGCGAGCTGGATGCCCTTAGAGCAGAGGTGGAAGGGCTTAATGAAAATAAGAAGGTTCTTCTACACAAGGTGGAGTACCTCAAGGCGGACATCGCAGAGAAGACTGAGATCTTCACTCAGGCGATAGAGGAGATGAAGGCCAAAGTCGTCGCTGACTATATCCAATCTGATAAGTTTGATGCCGTTCTGGGGGAGGCCTACCGCAAGGGGTTCAAGCTTAGCAGGTGGCTGATAAGGCATTCGTACCCCGAGCTTGACACAAGCGCCATCACCACCTCGCGAATCACGGACGAGATAGCTCGTCAAGCCGCAGAGGACCCAGACTCAGAGGAGGAGGGTGGTGACGAAAAAGATATTCCTGACCAGCCTGAAGCTCTTGAGGAGGTCTCACACGGGGGTGGAGGGCCCCCGAAGTAATTACCTTTGTACTCCGAGCCAGCGAGCTCAGTCCTTGTACTTGGTTGTTTTTCTTTTCTGTTGAACTCGTTGTACAAACTTTATCTATTAATGAAATTGGCCCTTTTCCAAGTGATCTTTCCAAGTACTGCTTTATCCGAGCTTATCATGGTTGTGTGTGGAGTGGTTTGACATAGTAGGGCATAGTAGGGCGCATGCCCGAATTGCCTTATGGCGTATACTAAGGTGATTTGCATATTAAGGCATAGTAAGGCATATGCCCGAACTGCCTTGTGACGTACACAAGTGATTAACATAGTAAGGCATAGTAAGGCGTATGGCTGAAATGCCTTGTGACGTACATCGAGGTGGGCTTAGCGCCATAGGGTCTACTGGTCTGCCCACGCCCTCGGTGCAGTGTGCTATGGTGTTGAGCTCCTTGGTCAGCTCGGCATTTCAACCCTTTAAATTCATTCGCATCATAGTGGCTACTTGAGCCCGAACTGCCTGAACTGCCTTTTGGCCCTTGAGCCCTGAGAGTGACTCACAGTTTACTCCGTTATTCATAGGTAATGCTGTCTTAGGTTGACGATATTCTACGCCCGAGGTACTTGTTCCCTTTTAGGATTTCGAGCTCGTATGTTCCTTCCCTGAGTACTCGCCTTACTCGGTATGGTCCCTCCCAATTCGGACCGAGCTTGCCAACGCTGGGCTCAGGCACCATAACCTTACGGAGAACTAGGTCACCAACGCGGAGAGTCCGCCTTTTGACCCTGGCGTTATAATACCAAGCTACCCTTTGTTGGTAGGCCACAGTCCTGATGTAAGCGAGGTCCCGTACTTCGTCAAGCAGGTCGAGGTTGGTACGTAGATCGTCTTCATTTGCTCTGTCCTCGTAAGCTTCTAATCACAACGAAGGGACTTCAATCTCGGCTGGAATGACTGCTTCGGTGTCGTATGTAAGGTTAAAGGGGGTTTCTCCTGTGGTAGTCTTTTTCGTGGTATGGTAAGCCCATAGTACACTGGGCAGCTCGTCCGTCCACAGTCCCTTAGCTCGGTCCATGTGCGCTTTTAGTCCTCGAAGGATAGCCCTGTTCGTAAGGCCATTTGCCTGAGGGTGCGCCACCGAGGTGAAGTTCTGTTGAATTCCCATGTCTCGGCACCAGTTTTGGAACTTGATGTCTTCGAACTGCTTACCATTGTCGGAGATCAGTACCCGAGGTAATCCGAAGCAACACACTATGTTCTTCCAAAAGAAGTTCTGCACATTCCGAGCCGTAATTGTTGTGA